ATCCAGGCCGGGTCCATAACTCAGTGACCGTGGGCTCCGAGGCAGGGGCACCACAATGCCATCCCGAGTGGTGATGCAGTTTGGGCCTGGCCCTGCCAGGCAGCAAGGAAATGGCGTTTCCGGTGATGGGGATGGATGGAGTGTGGGTCTGCGGGGACCACGGAGGCAGGCACTGCTCTGAGATGCAGCGCCCCTGATGCACGACCTCCGATACTGCTCTTGAAGTGGCATCTTGGGGGCTGCCTCAGTCCGCGCGTCACCAGAGAATCTTCTGACAAAGAGGTTCGTTCCCCCTCCCGTGGATGAGGCCACCTCTCCAGAGGCTCTGCGAGTCTCAGCAGAGAGGCCATGGGCCCTGGGGTGGGACCCTGCATCAGTCTCCCCTTCTCTGGCTGACCCGGGCAAGTCAATGAACTCCTCCGAGCCCCCCAGTTTCCACATCTGAAAATGGGGCTCAACAGCCCTACAGAACAAGTGGCATGTGGCTGGCCTCTGTGGGGCACGGGGTGAATGCTGTTCCCGCCCCCCCCATCAACCCTGGCAGGGCAGGACCCCTACCACGTTTATTTACCCAAACGTGAAATGATCTCAAGAATCGCCGGCACTTGAGGACCAGGTACCAGGCCTGTACAAGGATCAGCCCGTTTAATTCTCAGGATGATTATGACCCCTGGTGCTTACATGGGGAAACCGAGGCAGGGGCCGGTGCAACGGGCTGCCCAAGGTCGCAGAGCCTCCGAGTGGCACAGGTGGGCCTTGAACCTGGGCCGTCTGAGTCCCGGCCCCAGCACACGTGCTGCTTCTCATAACGCCCACAGTGATGATAGCGCTAAAAACATCCCCTTAAGAAGGCTGATGGCTTTATGGCCGAGCGGTGCCCACCTGGCTGACGGAGCCGGTGTGGGTGCCTGGCACATGGTCGGCACTGAGCAACGGCTACTGCCGTCTGCTTCCTTTCCTCCCATCTTGTTTCTTTCTGTGTCTCTGTGCCCTGAGCGCCTGACACTGATAGATCAATGCCGGCTGCCTGGAGGAGGGTGCAGGGAGCAGCGCCCACAGCCTCCTTCGTGGGTTTCTGAGTGTTCGCTGAGCCCTGCTAGGTGCCTGGCCCCTCACAGGACTCAGCTGGGGGCGCCGAGGTCAGCCCAGTCCACTGCCAGGCATCCAGGTCTAGTACCTGCTCCCAGCCGCTGGACCGGGGCAGCTGCAGCATCCTTGGGTCTCCCCTCCGGGGTGCCTATGATAAGCCTCCTGCCTCAGTCTCCCCTGGAGTCGTTCAGGGCTGGATCTTGGCTCCAGAATTCCCCATCGCCAAATAAGGGCTCAAAACAGGCATATGGAGACCCCAGAAGAGGAATGCACCTCGTGATGGGGACTCTAGGAACCAAGGTGCTGAGTGCATTTGCAACCCTCTTCCTCCCCGGCCCCTCTTCCAAGAGGAAGAACTCTGGTCCTTCTCCCCAGGGAAGAAGCTGGGCCCTGGGCCAGGAATGGAGAAGCCTCCAGGAGCTGGAGAAGCCGAGATCATCCACCTAATACAGCGAGAGAGAGAGAGAGAGAGAGAGAGAGAGAGAGAGAGAGAGA